ACCCATTCTTCATTTTTGACAAAAGTGCCAAAAAATATACAATGGAGAGAAAAACAACCTCTTCAACAAATTGTTGCTGGAAAAAGTGTTTATCCATCTGCAAGAAAACTGAAAACTAGATGTATGTTCTATGACCCTGTATACTATCAACTCAAAATGGATCAAGGACTTCTTAATTTCAGACCTGAAACTCGAAAAGTTAGTTTACAGGACGGAGCAGGAAAACACCCTGGAACTAATAGGATACTCAAGAATTCCTCAATAAAACTACAGCAGCTCAGCAAACTAAGAGAAAGGATGGACAAATGGACTTCATAAAATTAAAAAGCTTCTGCACAAACAAAATAAATCTCTGGTCTAAAAAACTGGAGAGACCACTAAAGAGTGGGAGAAAATATTTGCCAGCTATACCATCAGACAAAGAACTGATAACCAGAATATACAGGAAACTAAACTCTCCTAAAAATGAATGAACCAATTAAGAAATGGGAAAAACTGAACTAAACAGAACTTTCTCAAAAGAAGAAATTCAAATGGCCAAAAAAACACATGAAAAAATGCTCACCCATCCTCTAAGGGGCGGGAAATGGGGGAGAGAGGGTGAGTAGGAGGGGACGGGGAAGATATGACCAAACAATGTACACACGTTGTGGATAAATGAATTTTAAAAAAAATGTATATGTTTATTTTTGCAAAAAAAAAAGAAAATATTTCCAAATTGAGTAATATAAGAAAATTGCTAGCAGTCCCCATTGTACAGAAGAGACATATAAACACTTAATTAGACCCAAAAACTTACTATGCATCTGACTTGCCACTGGGACGTATAATGCAGTAAATACAGTTGGCTCGTCATGTTATCTATTTGCAGGAAGCAAACCAACTTATAAAAATAGCTCCTCACATTCTGCTGTCCTTTGGAAATACTAATTATCCTCTAGTATGTTTTAACATTTTGATATTTTGATCATTAAGCTGGATTTTATTGTGATCAATGAGTTCTTAGTTTTGCTGTACTACAGCAACAATTTCTTTTTCTGGCATAAGATGCTACTTTAATACCTAGAATGAGTGTTTTAATTGAACCAAATGTGGGGGCAGGTTTCTATGATAAAATTTTCTCTGTTAAAAAACAAAAGTTTTCTCTAACTAATGACTTAAGCTTCATGATAATAGTAGTGTGGAAGTGTTCCCTAATGAAAAAACTGTCAAAACTTTTGGTTCCCACTTTCAGGTCTTTTTTCAGTAAGTCAGAAATAAAACTTAAAAAACTTATTTAAACCCATAGGAAGATTAAGTATGTGATATTGAGAGGTGTTGCAACTGTATTCCCTCAGTGAAGTAAAGCTTTAAGTAGAATTCTGGCATGTTTGGACATAAGGCATTTAAAATGCTTCCTATAAGTATAAATATACATAAATTTTCAGGTGAGATATAAATAGTGTTTTGCCTTGAACAAAGAAGTATGAGGAAAATGAGAGATTATCAGTTCCCATATAATAGATATGAACAAAAAGAATGCAGGATATTTGTTTGTAATATTTAATGAAGTAGATAGAATATTTACAACTGAGAAGTCTTGCAAGATTTATTTTTGTGGTTGTGGTTATTAATCAAAATTCTTTAGAAACACTCACTCTGCAAAGAATATGCCCAATAAAACTATGTACCTTTCCTTACAAATTCATTTGAGCTTATACCAACTGTTCAAGAATTTAGTTTTCATCAGGAAAAGGCCCCATGTGAACACTGTGTGCATTCATTATTTAGTGACACCAAAAAACAAAAATGCGTATTCCTGTGTTAAATCTCATAAAGCTTTTTTTATGTTTAGAGGTGGAAATAATTTTTTCTTATGACAATCAACAATACATTCCCAAAACAGTGGGCTTTCCTTGCTTGCCCATGCATTTGACAACACCCCCATATGAGTTCTTTACAAAAGTTCCTAATTTGTTGGCTTGTATTCCATAGTGTTGCTTCCTGAAAAGGGATGCTTTTCACCATAGGGGCACAAAAGATGCAACACATTGACTTTTAAATGGGTCATATCATGATACGTGTCTAACAGAAAGATCATGAATTCGTGGAAAAGGGGAAAAGCCCTTGGATGCTCAGCAAGGGCCATTCAAGCTTGGAGGCCTGCTTCTACTCATTGACAGGGAGACCATACTCCAAAAGTGTTAATGATACATAAAAAAATGGTGTGCCTGGTAATGACACTACCACCAGTCATAGATAGGAAAAAGATACTGAGCCAAGAGAGTAATAGGAGTAAACCCCTCTCTCCCTCATGTCTAGTGAATGTTGAAGGAATCTGTTCCATCTGACTCTTATAGCTCAGGTTCTGTCCAAATTATATATCCCAGTTTTCAAATAGAAATACTTCCTTTGTGGGGGCTCCAGAATAATCACTGTGCTGGAGACCATGGGCTACCATCTTTGCGGCATTACTCAATTTTGCCAGTGAATTCAGCAGTCAAAAAAGAAAAGGAATTAGTTTTACTGGTTCTGTAATCAATAAGATCATCATTTGAAGAATTGTGGTTCGTCAAATTAAACATGGGAGAATAATATATGTAACCAAAATTCAGGAGGATTTTACTGTGAACATGTAATATTTTTTTATACTCAGTGGAAAACCTTCATAGGTAATTTTCAGCAAAAGGTAACCATCTATAAGGACAGGCTATCAAAGTTTGTTAGGACCCTTCAGCCTAGCAGGTCTGGGGTTTTAATTTGACCAGTGAGTATGGAAAAAACAAAACATGCATGGATTTCCAAAATACAGACTATAGATGGAACAAATTCTGGATGTGTGGAAGGTGCGGGACAATTGGCTGGATACCCAAAATGAGATTCTGCAGGACTTCGTTCCAAGGGTTTGCTATGTTTTCAAATTTGTACTTCTGTACATCTCCTCTAGAGGACATTCTCTTTGGAAAAGTTTGAAGTCCTGTATCTCTGCCAATGATACCACTTTTCCAAAACCTTTTAATATCATTCTTGGTTTGTTCCTCTCCCTTGTCTCGCTTTCAGTTTCTCCTTACTCCATTGTCCTAGGAATTTTACATCTCCAACAAACATTAGCTTCTTAAAACTTTCCCTTGGGGTAACTCAGTTTACACCATATATTGGAAAGGGAGATTATCTTTTAGATATATGAAAAGTTTTATTTCATGAATTAGAAAATGTGCCTCAAAGTTATCAAGTACCTTGAAGGAACTTGACTAGGAATAAAAATTTAAACTGGATTTCTCAAAGTTATGTTCCAGTTTTGGAATATGACTGTGTTTGATCAGAGTGATAAATGGCACAGTTCCATGGAAATCTGGGAGTCTCTGAGATGCTTGAACTCTCCATCACCGAAATGGAAAGGAGTTTAGAGATGTCCATAGGAAATATTTCTCTGCAGTGTGTGTGTGTGTGGGGGGGTGGTTTCCTTTCAGAATATAACAAGTAACATAGCTGAAAGCAACCTTATGTGTCAAAGTAAGTTCTCCCTAATCTCTGCATTGCAGTAATTTGTGACTCTATAAAATCTTTTTAAATGCATTTATTCTTTGGGTGACATCTAGTGAATCATTCATTTTTAAATAAAAAGTATTTATTCAACATTTGTAACTTTAATCATGTCGTTGTGAAAAGAAGCTACAGAATCAAGTAAAACTTTATTGAAATCTTGGCTAAAGATCTGTGTGTGTGTGTAAACTAAGCCCACTGTCTCAACTTGTTTTTTAGTACAATGGAGTTAGTCATAAATAGCCAGAATTATTGTGCAAGTTACCTGAAGTAATAGACTTAAATGTATTCTCCAAATTGCTGAGACATAGTAAATGTTCAATAAAGATCAGTTTTATTATTTGTGAAATTTTGAATGGGCTCACTTGCTATTGAAAATACAAATTTGAGAATAACATAAGGTTTTAGTATTCATCTTCACAAAATATATGGCTTGTTTTTGCTTCAAGAAAATGACATACTAATTTTAAATATTATCGATGTAGAGATGATTTGTTTTGGACATCACCAGATGTTATTAGCAAGTACAGAAGTACCTCACTATGAAATTTTTAAAAAACTTTTTACTTATAATTTTTAAATGATGGTGAGAAAATAAAATTTTACCTTTGTACTCAATGCTTTTTTGTTTTTGTTTGTTGTTTTGTTTTTGAATCTGTCTCTCTTATAGGCCAGACTGGCCTTGAAATTGTAATGTTCCTATCTCAGTCTCTTGAGTGTTGGGATTACAGGTATGTACTATCATGCCTGACTTACAAGTTTGTGTTCTTTAGGAAATCAGTTATCATGATATTGTAGCAACAAGGGTACAGTAACACTGACCCAGAATGAGGCTGAAAATCATTCTGTATAAAGGGTCACATGCAATTCCAATGTTATATAAATAAGCAGAACAGGTAAAAGGTATTAAGTTACTCTGGTGTACTGAAATAAAACAATAACACTTCACAAAAGCAGGTAGATAACAAATTGACTTTCATTATGTCATCACAACCCACCAAGATGAAGATAAAAGTAGGTAAAATACAAGACTTTTAAAGAAGCAATTATTATATCATTGGGAGTAATTAAGCAAAAAAAATCCTTTAAAAGATGTACATCTATTTTTCCTGTGAAATCTAAACAAATTGGCTTCTTCATTGAATCATTTTTCAAATATTTGATAGAATCTCTGTCAATGTACACTAAAGTTCTGAATCTCAAATCAGAACAATATTTTTAAAAAACTTATGGTCAAAATGTATTCAAGGAGCTTGTCTCTCAGTTGAATTATTCTAAAAATAATTGTGAATGTACTATTATATACATACTTCTGAGATCACAATAATGAACACAGTGATTCTCTATTTCAGGGAAATCAGGAAACAATGTCCAAGGAGAAGAAGGTTTTTTTTTCTTCTAATAGATAATGGCATTTGGTCCAAGATAAATCTAGACTCATTACCTATTTTAAATTCTTTCAATTCATTTATTAATACTCAAAGGAACCTCTCTATACGTCTCTTTAGAGCATTTTTTACCTCTTTATTTCGTAAACTGTAAATCAAAGGATTCAGCATGGGGATCACTACTACATAGAAAACTGCAGCAAATTTGTCTGTACTCAGGGAATGGCTAGATTTAGGTTGTAAGTACATAAAAATGATAGTTCCATAGTATATAGCAATAGAAGACAAGTGAGAAGCACAGGTGGAAAAGACTTTCTGTCTTCCTTCAACCGAGTGTTTCTTCAGTATTGCAGATAGAATGAACATGTATGAAATGAGAACGATGAGAAGAGAGCAACACACATTGAACCCAGCCATGGTCAGCAACATCAACTCTTTGACTTGGGTGTCAGAACAAGCCAGAGCAATCAAGGGAATATCATCACAGAAGAACTGGTTGACCATGTTGGAGTCACAAAAAGACAAAAGAAACGTAGTCACTGCTTGTATAAGTCCCATGAAAAATCCATAGATGTATGTGCAAGTGACTATTTGAAAGCAGAGTTTCCTAGGCATGAGAACTACATAGAGTAAAGGATTGCAAATAGCCACATACCTATCATAGGCCATTATAGAGAGCAGGGAAACTTCACACACTGAAAATGTGACAAAGAAACACACTTGAGCAGCACATCCATAGAATGATATGCTTTTAACTTCACACAAACTATTAACCAGAGCGTTTGGGGTGACACAGGAAGTGTAACAAAAATCAACAAAAGCCAGATGACTTAGGAAAAAATACATAGGTGATTGAAGCTGGGGACTGATTTGGATTAGCAAAATCAATCCAAGATTACTCATTACAGTAAATAAGTAGATGGTTAGAAGGATCACAAAAAGAATGACCTGAAATTCTGGATCATCTGTCAGTCCTAAGAGAATAAACTCAGTCACGGCTGAATGATTTCCTTTGGCCATTCAGTAGATGTAGAAATGTCTATAATAAAGCACTGCAGAGCACATCTTCTCAGTAATCTTGATTTTGTAGGAAGTGATGCAACAAGATAGGGATGGCTCACATAACATGTTACAGCTACTCAAAGGACCCTTTTCTATATTTTCAAATATGTTTTGGCTTTTCCTACACTTTTACTGTGATGTGGTACAAGTAGGAATACCAAGGTAGAAAATTCTTCATGGAGTAAAATATAAGTAGATGATTTCATTTAAAACTTTGTTAATGGTAAGATAGATAAACCTATGTTAAACATAAGCAAAAAGAGAAAATTAAAAAATGGGAAAATTAGAGTATGATAAAAATATAAATATATAAAGAAAATACTTCATGTTATGATTATTCCACAAGACATGTAAGTAATTTCTTAAAAATGTAACTAAATCTTTAGGTGAAAAAAATATTTATTAAGAAATGGTAAAATGTAAGGCCATAAGCAATATTTTTGCATTTTTATTGGCATATATTAAACTGTGCGTAATAAGAAGCTTTATCATGTCACTTTAATATGTGTGTATGATGTCATAATCTTTCTTATCCCTGTGCTCCCTCTCCCTTTTCTTTTTCCACCTCCCTAGTAGTTCCCCTTTGTTTTCATGACCTGGGCTGTTTTGTTTTGTTTCCCATAGCTTCCACAGATGAAGCAAACATAAGATAATTGTCTTTGTGGGATTGATGTAAGCCAATATGCTAATGGTGTATCTCTCTAGGGCATGTGGTTTTTGGCATTTTTGAGTATTTATTGCATATATAAATGCTCTGAATTCTCTTTTCTCAATATGTAGTATTTGTGAATGAATAAAAAAAATCAGCACTATTTTGAAAATCATATACATGCCTGTATATCTAAAAAAATATATATATGTACACACAATTTTCCTTTTTTCAGACTAATAATGTATTTTAAAATAATTGAGAAATCTTCTTTTATTCCATACCTTCAACCATGCAGTGATAGAAGGAAAAAGTAAAATCAACGCTCTGGACTTTGACTCATGTAAAGTTCTTTCTGGTTATTAGAAAGATGACAGATTAAAATTCTTCCTTTAAGTGCAGCAGAGAAAGTACAGTTTTCATTTTTTCTACTTCTATGTCATCTAAGATAATCTTCACATCAGCCTTATATTTGGGCAAGACAGATATCATGTTTATTTATTCATACAGAAACTGTTCAAAGTTTGGCAAAATATATCAGGTGTCTATCAAGGCCCTTATACCCAAAATGCTAACAAACTGTCCTGTTTGTTCTGTAACATTCCCCTGTCTACAGGAAATGAAAACAGTCTTTGCTTTCTTGACAGGGTTGAATTTTACATGTTCCAAAATTTTGGATACCCTGGAAATTACAATATTAGCTAAAACATTAAGTGCTCAGGTAGCATGGATTTTTATTATGAACATTATTGTTATCATGGAAGCTCCGTTTTGTTCTGGAGGAGCTACACTGCTGTCCTTAAACAAGTGCAGGAAATTACTCCCTTTGCAATCACTGGGCAGCTTGCCTGGGATACCTCACATGCAGATTCCCTTTCCTTCCGGCCCTTAGTATTTGTAGGATAATCATCCACATGCTCAGAGATTTCCTCTGAAGCTTATGCCCTGAAAATTATTACATGTCCTACATCTTCAACCTTTTCATTTTCTTTCCTCAACTGTTCAATGTTTGACCATCAAATCCCAGGTAATAGGCAGTCTTCCTTATGCTGTCTATCAGAGGTAAAACTCAGTGCAATCTTGCAAAATTGTGTATATGTGTATTCATATATATGTATGTATATATATATTATGTTAAGTAGATTGAATAGATAGAAAATTATTGTTGGATAAGTGTTATTGTCAAGAATCCCTTGTCAGACTGTTCAGATACTGTTTATTGTTCCTTATTGTGGGTCAGTCAGAAAAACAAAACCACTTACAATATCATGAAATTAAGGAATTTAAAATCACAGTTAGGACCTACAATAATTTTGTAAGGAAGAGGATAGTACAGATCAAGAAGCCAGAAGGTGGAACATCAGAAAAACTTACTCCAACATGAACCTGAAGTGCAGATGTGAAGAATGAGTTCATGCCTGTAGAGAGGTTAAAGAAGTGGCTGGGTCTGTTTCAAAGAGACCTTCAGAAACATGTGAATGTCACCACTTTGGACATCTGTCCTCCATATCTGGTATAAATAACAACCTCTGCATTTGTTGGGTCTTGCAGATATAACACATTTTTTCCCAATGACAAATTTTGGCTTAAAACTTTGAGAGAAAGGGATTTTGTAAATCCTCACTTCTCAACTATAGAGACAGTTATTATGTTAAATTCATAGCTGGGATTAGAAGAGGCTGCTCCCTTGGCAATTCAGCCTCAACACACATCCTTTGTAACAAAATTTAACAACACTGTCCGTTATAACTTGAGTCCATTCTCTCTCATAAACTTAATGCTCTATGCAACCCGAGAGGGTTAGAATCATCACAAAAGATCTTTATCTCCTTTTATCCACCCTGGGAGAAATTTATCAATCTTTTAGGTGAATCACACTCCTTACTTGAAATCCTGAAAATCAAATGTTATGATATAGCGTTAAATACTATCAACATACTTCATATTAATTCATGATTGGACCAGATGAAAATGAGATTCTTAAATATAATATGAGATGCTGATATATATGAATGCCCAGTGCAGTTTAATCCCCAAATACTCATATGTCTGGGCTTTTGAAATTCCTCCTGATATAGTAGTATGAGGCATACTGAGAATAACCTTCAAAAGTGAAGAATAAGTTATGGCATTTTATTTTTGGTGGCTACTTATATCTTACTATCTCTGCTGCTCTTACCCATTTGCTGAGCAATTCATAAAGATACCTGATTTGAATGGTATCCAGAGCAAAAAACAAAACCAAAAAGATGTGCAAAGCAGTGCTTCCTGCTGGTAAATGGCAATGGCACTAAGTGATAACACATAGCATTTCTAGTACAATTTGAATTCTAGGGAAGTATGGATGTTTATGAAGGTTTGTTAGGCCCCTAAAGGACATTAGAGTTGAGTCCTTTATGATTTGAGAGGAAGGAGACAATTTCTCCAGTAGATAATTATTTGTCTTTTGAGACTAAAGTTTCTGACTGGTTATTAGCCCTTGGAGAGACTGAAAACCTAACTAGAGGGAACCGAGCTCCCATGATTCCTCAGCTGGTCATCAAGGGCCAAGTGCTGTCTGAATCACGAGTCCTCTAATCTGCAAGCAGATAGCAGAACACTATCATGTAGTGGTGTTAGGTTCAAACCTATCCTGAAGGCAGATGTTATTTGGACAAGCATGTGTCTTAAAATTCCATGGCTTCTGTGCTTTACATTTACTTTATTGAAAACAAAGGAAGAAAATAATGGAGACTAATATTTAGATACATCTGTAAAATTTGTAGGCACCACCCAACAGTGATTGGAAATAATAATTTTAGAGTGGGAAAATTTGTTTAGTGTCAAATATAGCAAAAATAAGGTCTCACTCCAGGGTCTAAGTTGAGCAGGTTGCCCACTGTGAAAGATTTAGATACAAACAGCTCAGGGCCCCCCATGGCTGTGACACAAATTCACCCCATGTGCCCCATCCATATCCACATTCATCATTAATGCAATGTCCCTCTGGAAATTTGGAGACAGTAGGAAATGAAGTGACTTTCAGTCTTGTGGTGTTTAATGTGAATAGAAATTATTTTGTCTCTAGGACTCTCATGACTCCTTCCAGAAGTCATAAAATTGTGCTAGACTAACATTTTAGCTGGAATAAAGGCTATAATTTCACATCTGTTGGAATTATTTTTCTTTCTGATTATAAGAATAGAATGTTAACAGTGGCACAACTTTGTGAGAGATAGAGAAAGCAAAATTTGTAACTCTGAGATTTACAAAATCTAGTAGTACTTTCACTTTAGCAAGGCATGTCACAAAGGTGGGTGAATGAGATCCCCAGTATCTTTCCTGTTATTAATGTTTACAGTCAGAGCAGTGAGAAATAGATTTGAAATTATCTAGCTAGCATTTTAAAAAATTTTTTAATTCATTTATTCATATGTGCATACATTGTTTGGGCCATTTCTCCCCCCTTGCCCCCTGCCTCTTCCTTCCTCTCCACCCCCCTTCTCTTCCAGGCAGAACCTGTTTTGCCCTCTTCTCCAGTTTTGTTGAAGTGAAAACATTTAGCAATAATAAGAAAGGCATAGAGTTTTTGTTAGTTTGAGATATGGATAGATATACAGAGAGATTCCTAGCATTGCTTCCATGCACTTGTGTATTACAACCTGAATTGATTCCTCCTCACTACTTCCTGGTCACCTTCCCATAGTGACCTCTGTCATTTTAAGGTTACTATATTAGCTCCTTTTCAGTGGCCATATCAAACACTTTGAAGTTTTGGGTTTCCTACCTTTTCTTATTCCTCCTGTTTATGTGCTCCCCTTAGAATGTGACCCATGCCTAATAATATTACTGTATTTGTTTTATATCTGAAGTTCACATATGAGGGAAATCATACGATTTTTGGCTTTCTGAGCCTGGTTAACTTTGCTTAAGATGATGTTCTCCAGTTCCATCCCTTTACTTGCAAATGATAAGACTTCATTCTTCCTCTTCATGACTGAGTAAAATTCCATTCTGTATGACAACCACATTTTCTTAATCCTTTCATCTATAGTGGGGCATCTTGGCAATTTCCATAACTTGGCTATTGTGAATAGTGCTGCAATAAACATGGGTGTGCAGGTGCCTCTGGAGTAACCTGAGTTGCATTCCTTTGGGTATATTTCAAAGCAGTGAGAAATAGATTTGAAATTATCTAGCTAGTATTGGTTATTTTTCTCTAGTGAGAATATCTATTTCATAATGGAGCAGCCAAGTCTCTGAGCATAGTTAAAAGGCAATGAGACTATAGTATTTATATTAAGGAGGCTCAAGCTGAAATAAATAGTCA